GCGCGCACCCGCGCTCGCGCTCAGCGGCACGATGGCCGAGTCCCACCTGCAGTCGCCCCTCATCACAGCGTCGCAGTTTTTCGAGATCTGGCTTCACTTCGACGCCGATGGTGACTATCTTCCCCCTTATCTGTCGGGGCCCCGTCCGTGCCCTTCCCCCTCCCCGCCCCTGAGCCTCCGGTCCCATTTCCCCCGTTTCTTTACTTCTTTCTCGGCTCCCCGATCTTACCTCCAGGCTGGCTGCAGAACCATCGACTTGGAAGTTTATATATTGCTTCCGTTGCCCCCACACCTTAAACTTCTCTCCAAGAATGGCAACAGTAGAAAGTGGGGGAAGCAGGCGTGGGGAACGCTGCTCTCCAAAATTCCCATGGCCGTGATCAGCGTCCCTAACCCCCGTCCCCAAGTGAAGGGGCGCGGACTTGTCGTTTGCGGGCTAATCCTGGTCTGGGCAGGAGAGAGCCTCTGAGGTGGCCATAAAGACAGCAGTCCTGGGGACTGGGGATAGGAAAGGGACTCGGAGCGAGCCGTCTGACACCTGGCGCCTGCCTATCTTTGCAGGAAGTGGGTACCTGGAAGGGAAGGAGCTGCAGAACTTGATCCACGAGCTCCAGCAGGCGCGGAAGAAGGCCGGACTGGTAGGTTCAAAGTGCAAAGGAGGAAAGGGACCTTCGGGCTTAAAATACAGACGTTCTACTGTTTTCCTAAGGGCCAGCAGGGTCAAGTGGTTTTCAGAGAATGTAAATGTTTATCGACTGAGAAAGAGGAGAAAGAGCGCCTTTCCAGATTGTGTAAGGGGAGAGAGAAGGAGGGAGAGAAAGAGACAGACAGGGAGAAACGGGGGAGACAGAAGGGGGGGCGGATGTTCCCTAAAGGGAAAAACTGCACAGTCTGAAGCTGCAGCTTGGAGGGCAGCTTTAATAATGCTTCAGAGTGTGGGTGTGCGAGATCTTTCAGTAGGTCAGCATCTCTGAGGCTCAGTTCCGTTGGGTAATTTTTAACTTATTAACTGCGTGAGAAGTGAGGGGGCAGAAATACATTTCTGCCCCTTGGTGGTCAGAAAGCAGATGTGCAGATTATGGATCTTTTTCTGTTGCCAGTTGTCGTGGTGATGCTGTGGTTGGAGAGATGAGAAAATAAAGTGTCTCATCTGTCCTCGGTGGCGGGGGACGACTTGCAACTCGATTCGAGGAGCAGGAAAGGTGTTCATTTCTGTTGAGAGGGAGAAACCCAAAAGTTAGAAATGTAAAAAGTAACGCAATTTTAAGACTCTTATTTAAAAAAAGCAAAGTGATGCTTTGATGGTAAGCAATTAATGGTATTTTGAAAATAAGATATAATTGTAATTTGAGCCACTAGTTAATTAAACAAATGACGATTCTTATTAATTCCGAATGACTTCCTGTAGTCATTAATTGGTCTGTTAAAAAAAAAAAAAGATGTTTTCAGAATAAAATAAAATATACCCAGCTTTGAAACATACATGAGATGACTAAAGTAGAATAGGCATAAAGTAGAATAGGCTGAGACTTTTACAAATCTGAGACTTACATAAGACTGCATTTCAGAAGGCAGCGTTGAACTTGGGCTAGTGAGATGTTAATGATCTTTACCATTAGAAAGAGAGTTTAAGTTACAGACTACCAGACTACATATACATTTTCAGAGGAAAATGTAGGTGTGTCTGATCCTTGGCAGGTCACCACCCCTAGCAACAAGTTACACACAATTATAATATTACTACATATTACATATGTATAACTTACTAAGAGAGTTTCGTTTTTGTTCTATCAAAATTGAAAACCATGTGGTAGGCATCTCTGTACAATATATTCAAAATAATCTCAGAGGACTCTGAAATGTGTTGTTATGTGTTGTTATCAGTTGCTAAAATCATTGACCGAATTAATTTAAAATGGGATAATGCTCTGGGTATGGTTTCACCCAGATTTACTATTATATAAATCTGAAGGTATAATTAATTGGGATCAAATGAAATAGGTCCACACCCCCCTCCGCTTACATATTATCATGTAAATAAATTCACGAAATACTTTATTATTACGTATCTTAGACTCATAAAACAAAAACAAGTCTCTTCCTCATTTAAAAATATACTTTTAAAATATCTGATTGGGAAAATCTTACTTGCTAAAAATTTTCAAATTAAAACCTTGTGGGAGCCTCCAGCAGCTAAACGATTATATTTTAAATTTTCTAGAAGTAATTTTAATATTGAGGTTTATTTTCATCCTTAGAAATTCAAATATTTAAAAATTATACATTTTTTCAGATTTTTATTTTCCTCTTCTCACTTTAATATTTGTACATTTTTGTAAATAATGACTTCGTATTAGAATCTTAAAGATTTTAGAGCTTAATTATTTTTTCCTACTGCCAGGACTCCAATTTTAGAATATTGGAAACTTAAATTATTAGATTATAATCCAATAATACCAAATCTGAGCACAGGCAAAGGATTATATCAAGGTGCTTCATACCTTGATTATTGAATATTTTTATGTATTATGCATACTGTCTTTGGATAGTTAAAATCTAAATTAAGATCTGGACTCAGAGGTTCATGTACTAGAAAAAGAGCTCTCTTATGCTACTGGCCCCACTGCAATAAACCTACTTTTACAAATTTCTTCTCTTTTTTTAGAGCGTAAAGGTTGACCTTATCAACTAGGTTTCCTGGAGTTTCCAGCCTCAGATAACAAACGGAGTTGGTGGCACTAATGGAAACGCTGTTGGGCTTGTCATATGAATAATGTGAAATTCCAAAATTTTCACTAAGATTAACTATAAATGAATAAAACATTAATGAAATGTAACGACCCAATATATCTCCTACCCTTTTACAATAAACATGGTATTTAGTCATTATAATAGAAAGCTTTAATTTATTATTATCACTATCATTATGTTTTACACTGTTTAAAACAGATTTTGGCAACGTTATCACCCAGAAAGCTCACAAACTACATGTCAGAGCTGCTGGTTACGCCAGTAGTATTATATGGTTTTGAGATTTTAACAACAAATGCTTTGTTTTTTTGTTTACTTCAAGTTATATGTGAAAAACATAACAACTTATAGTCCCACTATTGCCATTTTCATTTTAAAATAGTTGTTGTAGTAAAATTTAATAAATGCAAGTTGAAATTAATCCATACCAGAAGATTTTTTAAGACTACATTATAATTAAATGTGATTAAATAATTAAATCTGTTATCTCAGTTCTACCAAGCATATTTACTTTGATTCATAAAAGATGTTGTAACACTAGTAGTAATGCTATTCACCGTGAATACAGCCCTTAAATTATATTAACACGTCTATCCCTAGAGCCACCGTGTGGTAAGTAATACCATTATCTTTTTCGTTACGGTAAAACCTGAGACCTTAATTTACTTTCCCAAGGTCATAGAACAGGCCATTGGTAAAGGCTGACCTGTTTTAAACAGGCCCCAGTTAGTGCCCCAGGACTGTTTTAGATGGGCGGTGTTGGAGACCCAAGGGCACATACTGAGCCTCTCGGACCCTGGGTCCACGTTCAGACCACAAGTCTGCAGTTCACAGCTCTCCAGTCTGTCACTATGGGAGGAGATTACATAAGCAGTAGAATAGGTTGGGGGGGAGGGACCCAAATGAGACGAACGCCTTCACGTTGCCACTCTCAAACATGTCTTACTGTACTAAAATTCACGGAGAAAAAATGTTATCTCAGAACAAACGGAAACAAGGAAACGCTAGACGACTGCTCCGTGTCACTCTTGGAGACAAAGATCATAGGCACATGTGACCTGTGGTCACCAATATTGTCTCTAATGAAAGTACAAATTAGTCAAGTTGTTTTCTTACCTGGCAGGTATTTTCTGATATTTAACTTTTTTACTTAGAATACCACTTTTGTGCTGGAAACATTCTTTGCTTACTAAGTGAGTGACTACTCATTTTTTGTTGTTGTTGTTCAAATGGAAAACATATATTATTACTTTCCGTGGCAAGACATATTAGAATAAGGACAATCTTGTAAGACAATTAGTGCAGCAATATGAAAGAATCTTTCCTGAAGCAAGCAGTATTTAAAGTACCTTAACGGTGATCATTATATTTAAATTCACTAAAGGTTAGGAATTGAATAATTCTGACTACATTGGAAAAATAACATATTCTCAGGACTACTAGTAGAAGATAAATCATAGTGATGGATTCAGAAATAATCATAACTTTCATTTGAAACCAGCAAACACTGTACATCGGCTATGGCTTTAATTTTCAGGAGAATAGTTAATCAGTATGCATAATTCTGAATGGTTCCGATTCCAGTTTTTCTTTGCAAAAGTTACAAAAACCATCACAAGCATAGTTGGGTTTGGGTTGTGTGTGTGTGTGTGTGTGTGTGTGTGTTTTACAAAATTTTTACTTGCTTTTACATTATTTTAGGAGTTATCGCCTGAGATGAAGACTTTTGTGGACCAGTACGGGCAGAGAGATGATGGAAAAATAGGAATTGTAGAGGTAAGAAACATTTTTCTGACACGGTCTTAATAAACGTGCTTCACTTTGTGGCTGCAGCCTGCTCAAACGTGGTGAAGCAGGGCCCATTCAGAGAGGCTTACTTTGCTTCGGTAACAGGTTCCCTTCCATTTGGAAATGTCAAGTCCAGTACTGCTGAGAGATGAGGGGGATCTAAGAGTCTGCCAAAGCCGGAGCCCAGCCCCAGCCCCTCGCGAGCGCACGCCGGGCCGCTGTGCTCACCCCGCCCGCTGCACTCACCCTGCTTCACCCAACACTGCCACGTACACGGTTCACTGGCATTTCTTCTCGTTTAGCGCTCTAGACTTTTCTGTTAAAATATAAAATGAAACTTTTGCAGTCCCTGTGACAATGTTATGGCAAAAAGCTGCATCCTGGTGTCCGAATTTGTTTTAAATTGACAGTGCACCTTAGTACAAACAGAACTTACGGAGGTGAGCAGGTGCGTTCTCGTGATCTTTTACAGGCGCAGATTTCTTGACTCTCTAAAGGTTCAAAAATGGGTGTCAAATCTTATTTATTTATTTATTTTTTACTTTTCTTGTCAAGGACAACTCTTTTTGGTCTGTAAATCAGGGAAGCAAAGCTTTGATTATATATCAATTCCTCTGCATTCTTGGATTTCTGAAAAGGCTGTTGCTCACCTTCTAGTTTTCCAAATGCTGGTGTCTTGGCAACTTTTAAAAATCTCTGCAACCTATTTTTATCTTAATTTCTGTTAGAGAAATCGAGCGGATAGCTTTCAGAAAAATTAATAAGGTCATATTTTAAAATATGCCAAATCACAAGCATAATTATGTTCTTTATACACAGTGTCCTTAGTGTGCTAGATTGTAAAGCATCCTGGCTGGCGACGACATTTAGTCATAATTTACCTTTGATTCAGAGAGCTAACCTGGTTTTCAAATAATCGGTCTTATAGCGTTCCTGTGATGTCAATGTGAAATACGCTTATTTTTAAACAGCTACTACAAATAGAGTTAAGGAAGGACACACTATTATTATCTTTGCAATTAAGATATTTCCCTGGAGCATACCCTTTCCTCTTTGCCCGAGTGTAACTCATTACTATATAAAGAGATAAATTTATAGTAGTGGGACTTACAGATTGACAAGGAGGCCAGCTAATCAAGACATGGAATCATCAAGGATAAGAAGATAACTTTAAAATGAACATAAATGAGATAAGTCCATCTACTCAAAACTAGTTGGAAATTCTGAAATCACTATGATTATAGCTGTGGCCATTTCAGAGTCTGGCACACTACAATTGACCAGAAAAAAGGCTGTCATCTTGTGTTTAACATATCTCACCGGAAGGGCTGAGGATGTATTCTGCTTCATTGTCTCGGTGATGCTCGGTGGCACAGCAGCGTGGCAGGCACGGATCTGACTTCCGTGGGTTCCACATTCCTGAAAGGACACGATGAATAAGACCGTTTTGGACCCAGGTTTTACTTTATACGACACTGTCTAATCCTCTATGAAGTATCGTTTGTGGCTATACTTGAATGAGAGGCTGGGGTCACCGGTAGATGCACTGTCCTCGAGCTTTGATGGAAGAAATCGCCCCAGACGTTTGCGATAAGAAGCCGTTGCAGGGACAGAAGGCTGTGCGTGTGCGAGAGACAGGCGCGGAGCTGAGGCAGGAAGGCTCGACGCGGCGGTGGCCGGAGGGACCGTCCGCGTTCCTGTGGCGCTGTGCTGTCCAGCACGGTCTCTCATTTCGCCTCACAGCAACGAAATAAGTCTAGAGTTAAAACGAGTCTGTTTTCGAGTTGGGGAAACCGAGAAATCAACAGAATTTGCCTAAAGTTGTCGAAGAAAAAAATAAGAAACAAATGGCAGAACAGCCAGAAGCCGGCCAAGTTCCTCTAAACGGCTCTGCCTTTTTCATTATTATAAGTAATCTGTACATTTTCTGCATTACGAGAAAACATTTTCAAGCTTCAGTTGGCCGATTGCTTATGGCAGGCGTCAGGGTCAGCAGGGGCTTCGGGAAGCACAGAGCGCGGACAAGTCACGTGGGCAAAGCACTTGGGACGTAATTCGGGTGGGACTTTCAGATCAGCCGGGGCAGGAAGTTACAGGAAGGAAGTGTGACCCCCCCAGGACCTGATCAGAAGGGTTAGGTATCCGAGGACGTGGAACTTTTCCTAGACGGGCCTTGGAAGAAAGTAGCCGAATTTTCCGTTTTAAGGATGAAGAAACCGAAGCCCAGAGAGGTTGAACGAAACGTCCATGTTCCCACTAGGAGTGGGGAGAATCCCCGGACCTGACTCCGGCTCCGGCTCCGGCTCCGGCTCCGGCTCGGGAGGTGGGGGGAGGAGGGGCCAGGGAGGAGGAATCAGCAAGGAGAGGGCAGCAGGAGGGACGGCGGGGGGCCCCTCTGGATGCGGACTCTGTCCAGTCCAGGGCCGGCAAGGAGGGCGAGGACAGAAAGGAGAGGTTCTGAAACTCACGGGCAAAGGAACCGAGGACCCCAGGTGACGGCAGCACGTGGGAGGGAGCGTGGGGCCCGCCCGAGCTCAGCGAGCCCTCGAGGATGAGTGAAGCTCATCCTTTCCCTTTTCCAACTTGGCAGATGATGTCGTTTGCTAAGAAATCCCATATAGAACATGAGACACAAATGCACAAATCCCAGCCAGCTATGAAGGAACAGAAAACGCAAGTCTTCCAAATTAGTAGTTATCTCCTCGCTGGCATCGGGCAACCAGAGCCCTGGGGTGCATGGGGAGATGGGCTGGATCTGCCTAAATGTTATGCCTCCTTGATAGGTGACTCACGGCTCATCCAAAACGAAGCCGGGTAGAGCAGGTGATATTCACGCGCAGTCTGCTCCCCTGGTGGGAACGGGCCGGACTTATTTGACCTTAACTGAAATACGCTGTTCGGAAGGTCAGGGATACAGAGGTCATTTTCCAAAGTTCTCCCCCGGCGTCGCCGGCCACTCGCCAACGACATGCTCTGGCACCTGGAAACGTGCGAAAACGGCGCCTTCTTCTGAGGTTTTTAATTTCGTGTCTTTAAAGAGCTTTTAAAATTCACACAGACATAGTTCAGTAATAAAGAGATTGTTAATATGAAGCCAAAACAGGAGTATTGAAATTCAAAGATAAATTAACAAATACCATGACAGTCAAAATGTTCTAAATTTATTCAGACTAATGGCTCCGCTGCAGAGAAGGCTGATTAAAAATAATTAAAGAGGAAGATGAATGGTTGAGCAGATAATAGAACTTTCTTCTCTGGTACTCGCATTAAGTAGAGCTACTTCCCTTAGCGGATATCAGGCCTGCCAGCCTCCCCCACCTCCGGGGCAGGTGTGGGACCCACGCACCTTTCCGCGCACACACTCTCTGTCCAGGTCAGTGCATCCAAGGAAAAGATAGATCTAAATGCCATTTTAATCCCCAAACTGTCATGACCCTCTCGGGAAGGCAGGCGTTCGTGTAGCCGACCCCTCTCTGTTTCCACAGTGGGATTTGAGCACGTGAGTTCAGACACAGGGGGTGTAATTTTTCTGGCAGTTGACTTTTTCACCTCAGGATTTGGGGAAACGATGGACAACGGAATCTGATTGGAAATTTTGCTCTGCAGAGATATTTCAAACGGTTTATTAGGAAAGCCATAAATGATGGAAGGTTTTAGTGGAGGGCAAGGAAGGGTCAGCGTCTCCAAGCCAGGGGAGTCAGGCTTTCTCATTCCAGATGTGGCTCAGACTGCACGCTGTATGGCGGCAGCCCATCGAGCCTCTGGGCCTCTGTCCCCCTGTGAACTGGGGTGGCACCTGAGCATCAGCATCAAAGTGATAATGCCTGTCAAGCAAATAGATAAACCCTGGGCACATGTGAAATTCGATAAATGTATTTGCTATTATTTTTTTAAATAAAAATAATTCATTGGGAAATCTACTCCATTCTCCTGGATGCCAAGCCCTTTTCCCACGTCTTATATAACTTGTCAAATTCAGATGATTAAATTCAACTAGTCTTACACGTATATGAGAAGACTGCTTTCCAAATTCCCACTTGTCAGCGGTGAGAGAAAACATTTCTCCAGTCCCCAAAAGAGCCGTGAGTGCTTTGCTAAGATCGGGAAGGGGTTAACTGCACCAGGATTGCCTCGGAGGGTCGGGGAGAGTCAGGGTTAGGCCTGCGTGTCCTCACGTACCTCGCTCAGTCACTATTTCTGGCGAAGTAACCCTCCCTGCACCTCGGACTTGGCCTCGCCGCTCTATCTCCTGCTTTGAAACTGTCTGGTAAAAACAGATCATTTGCAGAGAAGGCTGATTAGAAATAATTAAAGAGGAAGATGAATGGTTGAGCAGATAATAGAACTTTCTTCTCTGGTACTCACATTCAGTAGAGATAATTCCCTTAGCGGATATCAGGCCTGCCAGCCTCCCTGCAAGGTTCTCAGCAGCGGTGACCAAATCCCCAGCGCCCACAGGCACATGCGGGGTTCTGAGTCAGAGCCCGGTGAGCCACAGCAGGGATGTGACCTCCTGCAAGCTGAAGCAGAGCTCCATGCTGTGCCAGCTCCGGGGAGGCACAGGGAGCCTGCGCTGAGCCCTGAGCGGCAGAGCTCCCTGGAGACCAGCAGCAAGGCCTTTCTCATGAGTGCTCTGGGGACCAGCACCAGTCCAAGGGCAGTGAGGGCAGAGGGGGGCGCTGGGCCGTGGTGCAGCCCCCACAGAGGCTTCGGCTGGCCCTACAGTGTGCTCTGACGCTGGGTCGACCCTCCAGAGATGCCCTAAGTTTTGAGTGAGAGTCTCGGCCTTTATATGTCCCTGTGGGTTAGTCACGGGATGCAGCCTCCTCAGGGACACAGCTCTCTTCGACCCAGGTAATGTCTCCAAGAGACCTGACAGCTGAGGCTACAGCGACGCTGCCAGCACCTGAAGGGAGCTCTGGGTGGCACGTCACGGTGTCCACCTACGGCTTGGCAATATTGCCAAAGGAACTGCGTGTCCACCTGTGCCAACCCTAGACCGAGAGTCAACAGCCTTCGTTCGCTGGTTCAGTAAAGCACCAACTGGCGTTCTTGCAGGTGCTGGGCAAAGAGACAGTAACCGAGGCCCAGGCCTCGCTCTCGAGACCTGCACAGACTGGCAGGGCGGTCGGGCAAGGAGGGAGAGGGGTTTGCCTCCCCACGCTCCAGGACCGGCCACCATCTCTCACATGAGTCCCCGAGGGCTCCGCCCCTGGCCACGGTTACCCGCCTCCCGCTCACTCCCCCGATGTCGCCCGCCCTCTCCTCCAGAACGTTGCGGGAATTCATAAATGAGCAGGCGGGCAGCCCACAGACTCGGGAATCACCAGTGATCTTGGGACACGCAACTAACTGCTTGCTTCTACGGACAGCAGTGACCTAGCAGAGCTGAGAGAAAAGCCACCTTATCTAACACCTGCTAGAAAAGGCCCCTGGACTTCGCAGACGTGGTCTGAGACGCCACAGCTGGAGGGCGACAGTGCCCAGCTCTGAGATTTGGACGTGGCGTCTCAGTGCACGGAGGCCGGGCCAGCAGGGCTCAGGACCATCGTGCTGTGATGTGCGCCTGTGGCAGGTGGCCTCTTCGTGGCCACCACAGCCACTCCTATCCCGACGTCACTGCTTATTTCTCAATGGCTGGTGTGTCTCACTGTGACCTTTTACGTGTCTCTAAGACTCACTTCTAATGCCTATAAAATAGGATGGTGCTGTGTTCGATTTAACACGCACGGGTCCATGAAATTAGAAGACTGAATGTGTTGCGTATACACGCAAAACAGTCAGGCCCGGCCAGACCGAAGCAGCGCGGGCGGCGAGGCGCACACTCACCCTGCCCACGGCGAGGGACCCTCCAGCCTCCGTGTTTGTCATTCCAGAGCGCTGAACTCAGTGCGAGCGACACCGACTTTAACTTTTCAGCGGAGATGGTAACATTCCTCTAACTTTACACGCGGCCGTCGCTGACTAGCTTGTTGTTTTACTTTTTCTCTTTTCACGTATTCAGTGGATTTTGATCAGTAAAATATTTTTAAGGAAAAACCTTTTGTTGTTTGAAACAATAGACATATTAACATCCGAGTAATATAGAAAACTGCAATGAAGATAGTAAACTCAGTTACTGTAAATCATGCTAAGTAGGTATTTTTCTGAAGTAAAATTACTAACCGATCCATAAGCATTTATGTCAGGCCTGCAATGTACTCCGGGGGACAGAGACAGGACAGCCTCTGCCCTCCTGAAGCGGGCGGTCCCTGGGGAGGTCCAGCAGATACTTGAAAAGTGTATCTGACCAGTCACCCGCCAACACAGAAAGAAAGGGTTGGCTTTGGCTATTTCCTGTTTCCCAAATGAATGCTTATGTAATACACAACCAACCAGTGACTTTCGTCCAAAATAAATAAAATGCTTTCTGACTGAGCCATAGTAAACACCCTAATAAGATGTTGGCCCCAACCCCTGGCTTCACCCCCACATAAGGTGCCTAGAAACTAAATGGTTCTAATTTGAGATATTATTTCAAAGATCTAAAAACAAGATAAGTTAAAGGACATATCATACAGGCATAAAGAAGCTGAAATTACTTGCATGTAAGGTAGAATGATCGATTTTAAAATGAATTTTAAATTTTTTAGTGGACTTAAAAGGATGAAATTCAAAACAGTGTGAGAGGGTGAGCATGCTGTCTATAATTTGGTAGGACTGTTGAACTTCTACCCACCTCAGGGTTGATCCAGACCCCGGGCTCTTGGCGGGAGTCCAGGGAGAATGGTCCAGCCACCGCGGTTCGGGGCTCGCGGGCTTCTGGGGATTGGAGGGGACGGGGCGCGAGGTGCCTTCTCTAAGGGCGCCACGCAGCCATCCCGGCGATTGTCACGGCCGCCTGAACCCAGGGCTCGGTGAGGCCCTGGACTCGTCCCAGCTCCTCATTCCAGTGATGAGGGCAGACGTGGCGGGCAGTTGCTGGGACCACAGCTCCTTGGCAGCTGAGCCAGGGATAGAACCGGCCTGCGCTGCGGCCGTCAATCCAGCTCCCCGTCCCCGCGCGCTGGGGGTTGAGCGTGTCCATCTCAAAGCGGAGCCGGAGCCCGTTTTTCTCAAAAAAAAAAAAGTAAGGGTGGGGAGGAGCAGTGAAGTTGCGCAGCGAGGTCTGCGCAGTGTCCCCGGGTCACGAGATGGAGACCACAGCACCAACCGCGGCCCGGGCTCAGGCGGCGGGGACCCTCCTGCAGCCGCGCAGCCTTGGGGGCCCGGTTACCCGTCACCCCTCGGTGTCCCGGCCCCGAGGCCTGTCTCCTCCGCCTCCCTCCTCTGGCCCGTGATTGTTCCTGGTGGCCTTCCCCTGCGTGTTGGGGGCCTCCCTGGGACCTGGGGGCGCACAGGCCCTTCCTGCAGCGCAGGCCACCTGGGTCCTTCCCCTCCACGGGGGACGTGTGGCCGCCCGTCCCTTCTGGGCCCCGAGAGGGGCTCCGCAGCACGGAGCAGGGGCCGGGCCCAGGCCTTGTGGACAGCG